GAGAGAGAGAATCCCAAGCAGGCACTGAGCTGTCAGCACAGAGCCTGGTGTGGGGCTGTATCCCATGAACCATGAGATCATGACTTGAGCTGAAGCCAAGAGTCAGATACGTAACAACTGAGCCAGCCAGGCACCCCTCCCCTGCCTTTTTTGTGATACCTTAAAAAAAAATGTTTTTAAGCGTTTATTTTTGAGAGATGGTGTGGGAGGGGCAGAGAGAGAGGGAGACACAGAATCCGAAGCAGGCTCCAGGTTCTGAGCTGTCATCACAGAGGCCGACTCTGGGCTCAAACTCAAAAAACATGAGATCATGACCTGAGCTGAAGTCAGAAACTCAACCGACCGAGTCACTCATGTGCCCCCTGATGATGCCCTTTAAGTGTCTTAATCTACACGTTTGCCTCTTCATCCCTTTCTTTTTCTTATAATTCACCTGTTGACTAGCCAGGCTGCGTGGCCCAGAGTTCCTGGGTTTTGCTGATTGGACACTCATGGGGCAGTGCAACATGTTCCTGTGTCCTCGGAGCCCCTGGCTCCTTTATTACACCAAACACAGTGTCTTCCCTACAGGAAGGAGCTCAGTGACCATGTTGTAATTGAAGTTGATGGGTACGTGGACTCTTTGGTACATGATTCATTCATAATTGGGATACCACATTCCATTTCCTTATTTCCAAAGCCATTGGTTACTTTGAAAGGACTGACGTCTAGTAAAGCCTTATTTTTTTATCTAAAATTTTTTAAAGTTTATTTATTTATTTTTGAGGGAGAGAGAGAGCCTGAGCATGAGTAGGGGAGGGGCACGAGAGAGGGAATCCCAAGCAGGCTCAGCTCGGAGCCCTGTGTGGGGTTCGAACTCATGAGCCATGAGATCATGACCTGAGCTGAAATCAAGAGTTGGACACAGCTGACTTGGCCATCCAGGCGCCCCAGAAAACCTTAGTTTTAGAGAAGTATACACTACAGTTCTTACCAGCTTACTCATTTTTCTCTCTCATGCATCTTTAGGACTGTAGACCCAGGATCGAATCCTGGAATCTGCCTTACCCTCTAGGTTATACTAAAACTAGTCGTTCAGTGTCTCAGGTCTGTGCTGCCCATAACAGAAACTCTTACGTGTTTCTAATATTTGTTTTTGAGCTTTCTCAAACGATCATGTGCATATATAGCTATGCAAATTAATGTTCTGTTTATGTCAGCCAGGAAAGGAGAAGGTGGGGAAACCGTTGTTTATCCAAAAGAGTCAGGAAACAGGCCCTTTCCATCAGGTCAGCATTCCAGCCAGCTGAGCGTTCATCTGTGCTGGTGATGTATATGGCAAATCAGTTTCCAAAGAATCCTTATCCAACTGGATACGTGCACCCTACACAAGGTCTATAATTGAACTTTTCTTTGATGAGTCAGACCTTACACTGCCTTAAGCCATCACAATGAGTGATTTTTGGACACCCCAGAAGTCACATTTAAAGGTAAGTCTCGTATCAGGGGCACCTGGGTGGCTCAGTCAGTTAAGTATCCGACTTCAGCTTAGGTCATAATCTCATGGTTGGTGGGTTTAAGCCCCCACATCGGACTCTGTGCTGACAGCTCAGAGGCTGGAGCTGCTTCGGATTCTGTGTCTCCCCCTCTCTTTGTGCCTCCTCTGCTTGTGTTCTGTCTCTCAATAATAAAGAAACATTAAAAAAATTTTATAAAAAAAAACAAAAACGCTTTGCATTGTAACAGTCATGGGATTGAGGCCGCTTGAGATCCCTAAGAGAGGGAAAGGCAGCGACAGCAACAAGGCTGAAAGGCCACCAAAGGGACCCCTGAAGACCCGGGTTCCTGGGCCTACAACCCAGAGGATGGGCCCGACCGTCAAAGAGCAGGCAGGCCGACCCAAGAAGAGATGGGCGATGAGGGAGGTGGAGAGTGAGGAGAAAGAAAGGGTGCTTTAGGCAGAGTGGCCAGGCCAGGCGGGGGGCCGTGCCCATGCCCAGGCCCTAGGCAGGCTTGGTGGTTTTTGAGAAACTGTAAGCACATCCTTTTTTTTTTTTTTTTTAAGTGTATTTATGTATTTTGAGAGAGAGAGTGTGGGGCAGAGAGAGAGGGAGAGAATCACAAGCAGGCTCCACGCTGTCCGTGCAGAGCCTGATGTAGGGCTCCAACTCACGAAACTGTGAGACCATGACCTGAGCCAAAGCTGAGAGTCGGCCGCTTGAGTGACTGAGCCGTCCAGGCACCCCTGGAAACACGTCCCTTTAGTTGAAGCATAATGAGCAATTGGAGCAGGAATCCTGTCACCTTGTCAAAAGTTCACTCCTTATGTGAAACTTTATGCGAACCATCAAGTATTTCAGACTTCCCCTGGATCGTGCCCTCAATTGTACTCTGGGAAATTGGGCACACGAGCCTAGTACGAAAGTGTCATAAGCATTTCCGATAGTGTCCCCAGCACAGATCACAGGGAACTCTCAAGTTCTAAAACTTCCCTCACACTTTTCCTGTATCTTCTATATCAGCTATTTGGTTTTCACGGGTCCTCTTTCCGCATTACCAGGTGGGCTTTAAAATCTCCACAGTTTCCGCTTGGTTACGTTTCATCTTTAAAAGGCATTTTTCAACTTTCACGAGGAACAGTCCAGAAATGGGAGAAGCCTAGGAGCAGTTATTGGAAATGACCTACAGATGCCGGCTGGGCGGTTGGGTCTCGGCGTTGATCATGCTGAGGGTCCCATCATTATTAGGTTCGTTGGTGCCAGAAAGGAAGGAGACCTGCCCTTATTAAGGCCTTGTGCACTGTTGTGTTCAAGGGACAACTTGAAATGGCCGAGGCTGTCCAGTGCTCCCTCTTCCATTTGGCACGCATGTGTCTGACCTCCGTTTTCATGTCCCATAGCTCTCTGTTCCTCCTTCCCCTGCTCGTCACTCCAGACTGCCAGCCCTGCCGCAGGAGGGGTCACCGTGTCACTGAGCAGCCAGAAACCTGTTCCACTGCAGCGCTGTTCCTTGCACCTGCGGTGGGCATACACCCCCTTCCCCCGCCATGATAGAATTTGCTCGTCCCCACCTTTCATTCCCTCCCCTGCTCCATGTGCCCATTTCAAATTCTCCCTTGTTCTCCTGCCTGTCTGTCCTTTTTGGAGGCTTGTTCTCCTCCCCTGTGGCTCCTGTGACTCTCCCTCTCCTCAGGGGGTCCATCTACTCAGCTCTTCTTGTGTGTCTCCCCGTCCCTCACTCTGCTCCTTTCTTCCCTGCCTTCCCGCTATTTTCCTGTTCCCCTTGCCCCATGTCCAGGACCCGTGTCTCACCTTCTGTGATGCTAAGTGCATCTGGCATTGAATTTTGATCAGTTCCCCGACTACCAGCAGCAGGCTGTCTGTGTGCATTATTTAGACTTCGCGGTGGAGACTCCGGCACGTCTTCTTTGGATCTGCCCGGGCCCCCAGTGCCTAGAGGAGGTCCAGTGTGGAGGGGCAGGTGGCTAATACACTGTGGTAGAGTAGAGAAACGGATGAACACGCGGCTGGCCAGCTTGACGAGGTCCATTATTCACAGTTTCTGCCTCAGAAGAAAGTTCTGAATCTCGGAGCTTCCAGACTCTATCACATAGAGACAGGATGGGTAGCCAGATGACGGGTATAGGAAATGCTGTGTGTTATTTATTGCATGACAGTGCAAATCTCTGTGCTGGAGAGAAAGAATGTGAGTAAATGTGGGTGGTCCTTCTGGCTTGTCTGCTCCCACAGCCTCGCATCAGAGAGGAGAGGTGCTCTCGGCCTAAGTTCATGGGTTTGAAAGTGAGCCACAGCACCCCTGAGTATGTGGGAAGAGGTGTGTGTAGAAGCACTGTGTGAATTGCAAAACACTGGACAAGTAAAGCATCACTGTGTTGCCTGAATTAATCATAATTCCAATTAAGAATTTAAGCTTGGAGTCTTTGGGGCACTTGTGTGTTTCAGTTGATTAAGCGTCTGACTCTTGATTTCGGCTCAGGTCATGATTTCACAGTTCATGAGTTCGAACCCCATGTCAGGCTCTGCACTGATGGTGTGGAGCCTGCTTGGGATTCTCTGTCTCTGCCCCCTCCCCTTTCTCTCAAAATAAATACACATTTGAAAATAAAATAAAATAAAACAAATAGGACTTCTCATATTATAAATATGTGATTTACTTTTAAATCCATCTGTTGAAGGAATGTGTCTCATCATCAAATGCTGAGGGATGGCATGTAGTTGAAGCCATAGAGAGTAATTTATAGAAAAGCCTCCCTTTTGTCAGAATTTAGGAGTAAAAGTAGACAAAACAAATAACTGTGAAAATAGATTTGCACTTCTAATAGGAAATCAGTGTGATAGATTCTTTTATGCTGATTTTTTAAAATGAAGAGATGTAATATATAGTGTTCTATTTTTCTTTTTAAGTTTTTGAGAGAGAGAATGAGCAGGGGAGGGGCAGAGGAGAGAGAGAGAGAGAAAGAGAATCCCAGGCGGGCTCCATGCTGTCAGTGTAGAGCCCGACATGGGGCTCGAACTCACAAACCGTGAGATCATGACTGAAATCAAGAGTCAGATGCTCAACTGAATGAGCCACCCAGGCACCCCTATCATGTTCTATATTTGATACAGGTGAGTTGTAGAATGCCATCCCCATTGAGTTGCTTATCTTAAAGTTTCAAAATTCATAAACTTGAACTTCTTTTGCGTAGCTCCCAGACCATGGGAGAGAACGCACTCAATGCATTCATCAAGGATGTTAATTAAGGTCTTTCTTCCTTAATTTTTTTCCTTCCATGAAACCTTGGCCCGCTCAGAATAGAGAAATCGGCCAAACCCATCTCACCGAATTGAGTCGTGCTGAGGGTCTGTTTCCGACCCTGGCTGGGCTCCTCGGATTGGCAGGTGGACAAGAAGGGGGCTGAATCTGGAGCCTCCTTAGTGTCCCGCTTTTCCTGCCTCAGCCAGGCTGCCCATTGTGTGCTGTTTCTGAAGTACCGCCTCCCCCTCCTGTCGCCCCTACAGGCCATGCAGGACGCGCTGGCCGACCTTCCGGAGTGGTATGGAATCAAAGGCATGCAGGCCCACTGGATCGGGGACTGTGTGGGCTGCCATCTGGACTTCACATTGAAGGTGATTCAGCAGTAGCATCTCTTGTTGATTCCCAAATCCCCTTCTGCGGCCTCGGAGGCGCTGAGCCGACCCGCAGCTCGGGACAGCGCAGCGGCCCTGTCGCGTGGAGAAACACCGCCGGGCGCACACGTCATTTCAGGCTTCGTAGTGGCCATGCTTTTAAAGCGCAAAGACACAGCAGTGGATTCTGATGACATGCTTTGACTTAAGCCGTTGTGTACCAAAAGTTCTCATTTCAGGCCATAGCCAGTGACAAACGTTTATTGAGGGATTAAGTTTACATTCCGGTTTTGGTATGGGGTCTTTGAGATGTGTGCTGCCTTGCACGTACAGCAGTCCTGGCCACTCTCCGTGCCCTGTGGCCTCATACTGCTAGTGGCCACCCTAGTGGACAATGCACATATGGATACAGAGCTTTGGGCGGGTCCACGAACTCCCGGAAATGATGTGTGCCCTGTTGTGTGGGCGTTTTCCTGAGCAGCGGGCCCAGGGCTCAGAGGGGTTCATGTCACAAAGCAGGTTAAAAGCCAGCAGAACCAAGGCTACCACCATCTCAAAACTGGGCACACTTGACGTTGGTGAGGACCGGGGGCTTCCAGAGAGCTGGCCTGTGCGGAAATACCGCTCAAAGGTCACTACTCAAGGCCCACCTACTCAGGAAGGCGCCCCGCAGCCTTTTTTCTTGTCCCTCCAGACTAGATAGTTGTCATACTGTCGTTTCTCACCTCGTGGCTTCTGTGTTTGTTTCTTAATTCTTCTGATGTCTCTTTCCTGCTCAGGGCTTTTGTGCTCTGTTCCTTTAGGTCCACACTCATCCCTCTCCTTAGGCTAGAACTGGAGGAGGGGACAGCAGCCAGGAGGCAAAACTGACCTACCTTTCTAGACTCTTCCTACCGGCAGCCATACTGGTGTCTACCGGGCAGAGCTCACGCTGCCCTGTGCCAGCTCCCCTACAGAAGTGACCCCCCCACCCCAACTGCAGGCACGAGAAGCCCCCCCGTAAGAGAGCGGGGACTTTGAAAACCAAATCCGGAAATGACCACATCCTCTTACCACTCTTCAGAGAAGGTGGTCAGATTTCTGAGTTTCAGTCCAGCTGCGACTTGTTCCAGCTCTCAAGGCCTTCTCATTTGGGGGTCCTGTGCCCCCACTTCAGCTGGGTCTGGTTTCCCCCCACCCCCATGTCGAAGGCCTTTGCTCCTCAGCCAGGGTGAAGGCTGTGGGCCTCTGAGCTGTTTGGCCGCCGTACATGGAATGTCTTCCACATTCTCTCCCATTCTCAGCATTTTTTAATGAAAATGTTTCTGTCTCCGTTCCTGGCCCCACCTGAAAATGAGATGTCTCAGGGGAGGGACCAGGCCTCGTAAGTGACACCTAACTGGCACTCAGGCCTGGTGTAGACCTGCATGTCATTGGCGTGCCATGAGCACATTTGAACAAACGTGTGAAAGAAGGAGCACCTGTCCCCTCTAGGTCATATAATGTGCATTCAGTTGATGCCTAATGTATACCTCTTCATTAAAAGTCATTCCAGCAGCCCTAGGAGCACTCAGTCATGAGCTCAGCTGTCCTGCCTTTCCTTCTTCAAAATGGTATTAGCTTCAGTGACTTTTTCTGAGTAGAAAAGTAGATGCCTTTGGGCGCCTGGGTGGCTTAGTCAGTTAGGTGTCTGACTTTGCCTCAGGTCATGGTCTCACAGTTCGTAGGTTCGTGGGTTCAAGCCCATGTCGGGCTCTGTGCTGACAGCTCAGAGCCAGGTGCCTGCTTCAGATTCTGTGTCTCTCTCCCTCTCTTGCTCTCTGCCCCTTCCCTACTTGTGCTTTCCCTCTCTCTCTGTCTCTCTGTCTCTCTCTCTCTCTTAAAAATAAGTAAACATTAAAAGAATAAATAAATAAATAAAATTAAAAAACCCCAAATGATCAGGTCATAAAATGGGCAGAGGACTTAAATATATGGGAAAAAAAAAAGATGCCTTTAATTTTCTTCCTTTACCTTCAGTCCTGGAGGAAAGTATAGCCCCTTTGTCAGGGCAGAAACAACATCATGTTGATGGTTGGTTTTGATTCATGAATGAAGGAGCCAGGGAGATGGGGGGCATCTTTCTAGCATGCTTTGACCACCTGTATTGGGGGCCGCCAAGCACGCCTGGCGGTGGCCACCCAGGCAGGGCTTCTCCCAGATCCTCTTCCCTCCTGCCTGTCTCTGCCCCTGCCAGGGGCCATTTCAGGGCCCTGCATGCCTGGGTCTGCAGCCAGAAACTGGCCCCAGCAGGCTTGAGGAGGGCAGGGAGGAGGGGCTGTGGCCTGGGAGCACCACGGCCCGGAAGGCGCACTGAGGAACGGAATGACTCTGTTTCCTTTTTTTTTTTTTTTTTAAATTTTTTTAATGTTTTATTTATTTCTAGGAGAGAGAGAGAGACAGCGTGAGCAGGGGAGGGTCAGAGAGAGAGGGAGTGACAGACTGAAACAGGCTCCAGGCTCTGAGCTGGCAGTCAGCACAGAGCCCGACGCGGGGCTCGAACCCACGAACCGCGAGATCATGACCTAAGCGAAAGTCGGACGCTTAACCGACTAAGCCACCCAGGCGCCCCGGAATGACTCTGTTTTCACCTGCCAGGTGGACGGGCAAGTCACGGGAGAAAAGCTGACAGCCTACACGGCGACCCCCGAGGCCATTTACGGCACCTCCCACGTGGCCATCTCCCCCAGCCACGGACTCCTGCACGGGCTCAGCCCCCTGAAGGAAACCTTTCGGAAGGCACTCGTCCCTGGCCAAGGTGAGCTGCCGGGTCCAGGCTGACACCGGGATTACACCTTAACTTTGGGACAGCGCTTCACAGGTTCATGGTCCTTTTACATATGTCGTCCTGGATAATTTGTCCTTCACCAGGGCCTGACTTGGTAGTTTATAATTTTAATTTAATTTAATTTTGTTTTATTTTATTTTGATGTAAAATTTAAAAAGAAAATTAAGTTTATTTATTTATTTTGAGAGAGAGAAGGGTAGGGGCAGAGGCGGGGGGAAGTAGGATCTCAGGCAGGCTCCATGCCGTCAGCACAGAACTTGATGCGGGATGAACCCACGAACTGCAAGGTCATGACCTGAGCTGAAATCAAGTAGGACGCTTAACTGAGTGAGCCACCCAGGTGTCCCTAAGAAATTTTTTTTGATGTTCATTTATTTTTGAGAGAGGGAAAGAGAGCACACGTGAGCAAGGGATGGGGGGAGAGAGAGAGAGAGAGAGAGGGAGAGAGAGAGAGTCTCAAGCAACCTCCTTGCTGTCAGCACAGAGCCTGACGTGGGGATCAATCCCATGAACCATGGGATTGTGACCTGAGCCAAAGTCAAGAGTCGGATACTTAACCAAATAAGCCACCCAGGAGCCCCTGGTTTTTTATTTTAAAACAGGATAAATAAAAGCTTTGAAAATGTTAAGTTTACCCTCAGTTTCACTTTAAGTTACTAGTTTGTCTGCTTCTTGCATTTCTTTTTTTCTTTTTTAGAGAGTGAGAGAGAGTGTACATTCACAGGCCAGGGAGGGGACAGAGAGGGAGAGGGAGAGGGAAAGAGAGTGTCAAGCTCCGATTTGGGGCTTGATCCCACCACCCTGGGGTCATCATGACCTGAGCTGAAACCAAGTGTCGGACACTGAACTCACTGAGCCCCCCAGGCGCCCCTGCTTCCTGATTTTCTGACCGAAAGCTCAATTCTTTTTAAATATAATCTATTTAAAGCTCTTTTCTGATAGGAATTGAATCTTCTGCTTAATTTATAATTCCATCATCAAACACAGCTATCCTGACAGCGACAGGGAGGAACCTGGTGAGACTGAGAGGAAACATTTTCACCAACTTCATGTTATTATTTCAAAGACTTCCCACAGTGCTCGGAGCAGACGAACAGAGCCCTGCTCAGTACGGGCCTTAGTCCGTGGATCAGGCTGACTCGGAATCAGCCGGGCAGGGGTTGCTGGTCAGTGTGGGTTTGGAGAGCTCCTGTGCGTTAGTCAGGATTCTGTGGTTGTACGCCACAGAATCCATCTCTGTCCAGAACATGCTGGAGGCTGTGGGAAGCATGCTGACTAGCAGGAACCAGTCTGGAAGAAGACCTGGCCCAGGGCGGCCATGTTTTGGCAGCAGAAACTAACAGTGTGTTGAGCGCCCCTGACTGAGTGGATCTGCTCTCACCTCGCCCTCAGTGCTCGGGGCGCTTGGTCCAAGATTCCTGTCGCAGGGAAAGGTATCTGATGGGATAACAGGCCCTTGGCCTTTTTCTTGGGCAAGGGGAGGGCAGACACATTCCTCATTAGACCACCAAGACTATGACCAGTGAGGAGGGCTAGCTCCCCTAAACAAACTGGGAGGCTTTTACCAGAAGAAGGCAGTATGGACCCTGGACAGGTGAAAGGAAGTCCCCCCTCGATTAGAAGTAGGTCTCCAGCTGGGTGCCTGGGTGGCTCAGTCAGTTGAGCATCTGACTTAGGCTCAGGTCATGGTCTAGCAGTTTACGAGTTCAATTCCCACATCAGGCTCTGGGCTGAGAGCTCAGAGCCTGAAGCCTGCTTTGGATTTTGTGTCTCCCTCTCTCTCTGTACCCGCCCCCCCCACCTTGCTTATGCTCTGTCTCTCTCTCTCTCTCAAAAAAGTAAATAAATATTTTAAAAAAAGAAGTAGATCTCTGGAGAAATGTAAATATTTCTGTAAAATTCTCTTCCCTGTTCTCTTTTCATAGACTGTAAATTTCAACCCAGAGCACACAGTATGAATTATCAGGGTCTGTTTGAATTATTTGACTACAGAAATGTTAGTGATGGTGATGTCAAGTTGTTTTTTTTTTTTTTTTAAATTGCTAATCTTAAAATAACCAGAGTGAAAGATTTCCAGGCTGAAAAGATAGACAGTGTCATCCCAACTTCCCTTTGCTTAAGATTTAATTGCTGGGGCACCTGGGTGGTTCAGTCAATTGAGTGTCTGACTCTTGATGTCAGCTCAGGTCGTGATCCTAAGGTCGTGGGATCGAGTCCTGTGTCAGGCTCTGTGCCGAGCGTGGAGCCTGCTTACAATTCTCTCTCTCTTTGTGCGCCTGGTGGTTCGGTCGGTTAAGTGTCCAAGTCTTGGTTTTGGCTCATTTCATGATCTCGTGGTTTATGGGTGCTCCACCAATGTGTGGAACCTCCTTGGGATTCTCTCTGTCTTCTTCTTTCCCTGCCCCTCCCTGCTCATGTTCTCTCTCTCTCAAAATAAATAAACTTAAAAGAAAATTGTTCTCTCTCCTTCTCTCTCTGTCTCCCTCTCTCCCTGCCCCTTCCCTAATTATGTATGCACGTGCTCTCTCTCTTGCTTTTTCCCTAAAAAAAAAGAAAAGACATTTTTAATTGCTGGGGGCACCTGGCTGACTTAATCAGTAGAACATGCAACTCTTAATCTCAGGGTCATGAGTTCAAGCTCCATGTTGAGCATGGAACCTACTTTTAAAAAAAGAAGAAGAAAAAAAAGACTTTTTAACTGCTTATTTCCAGTATGAAAGCCAAGTTCAAAATCAGTGAGCACTTAGGAAGAGCCTGCTATGTGCCAAGCATCCAGGGATGCTCAGGACCAGCCACAGGCCTGCCTTCTTTTGCGGGGTCGTAACAGAGGAGAGCCAGATGTGTGCGTGGTTCACCCTGGCCCAAGGCAGGCATCACCTGCTGTCATCTCTTGTTATATTGAAATAGAAAAAAAAACCTGTGTTAAAATTTCAGTCCCGTGTAGCTATCTCTCTGTTTTACTTTCACCTACTCAGAAGAAAACCTGGATTCTTTTCAACTGTTCATTTAAAAAAAAAACTCGGGAGCATTTTGAGATTCCTTGTGGGCTGTGATGGTTGAATAATATTTAAAATCGAAAAACAAAAACATGTAAACATCTAGCTCTTGGATTTTGTTTTCTTACAGAATCTGGTGACACAAATAAAATGAGGTCATATTAACAGGGGCTTAATGAGATGATACATTATAAAAGATGGAGGGGCGCCTAGGTGGCTCACTTGGTTAGGTGTCCGACTCTTAATATTGACTTAGGTCATGAGATTGGGTCCTGGGTTGGGCTCTGCGCTGAGCACGGAGCTGCTTCTCTCTCTCTCCCTCCCTTTGCTCCTGTCCTCCGGTCAGGTGCACATGCTTTCTAAAATAAAAATGAAAGGAATATATATATGTACGTATAGGGGATGGAGTTCCTGACGTGAAATGCACTGTATCAATTCCAGACACTTTTATGTGTAAGAAATTAAGAACTTATTTTAGCAGGTACAGAGAGTGATGTTTTCATGATCATCATTTTATTTTAGCCCCAAAAGGCTCACTAGCTTCCTTCTCACCTCTTTTTAATAATCTCTGAAATAATTCCAAATGGAACATTACACTCAGTGCTCAATTTTCCAATTCTAATTTTCAGAGTGGAAATATTCTTTTTGCAGATGTCAACGTAGTCAAAGTCTCCAGATTAGTTTGCACGTCAAGTCTTTTGCATGTCAGGTCTCTGGATTTTGACACATGGTGTTCGTTAGTGATGTAAGGCCGGCACGGCACCTTGGGCATAATGCGGTTTTTCTGAAATTCAAACTTAAAATCACCATATGAGTATGGCTGTATGCCTTCTTTGAACTTTGAGGTTATATTCTCTCTTTTTTTTTTTTAATGTTTATTTCTGAGTGAGAGAGAGAGTGTGAGCAAGGGAGGGTCAGAGAGAGGGAGACACAGAATCTGAAGCAGGCTCCAGGCTCTGAGCCATCAGCACAGAGCCCATCGCGGGGCTTGAACCCACGAACCATGAGATCGTAACCTGAGCTGAAGTCAGACGCTTAACTGACTGAGCTGCCTAGGAGCCTCTGAGGTTACATTCTAAACCCAAACATCATATCGCTGTTGCCATTTGCTACTGCCAACTGGCTCAAATCGGGCGAGCGGCTTGGTTTTTCCCTCCAATGTCGGGTTTTGAGGGTGACTGGTGACCGCTGAAAGTCCGGGTAGCACGCGGGTGTGACCAAATGGACCCCTTGCAGGAGTTTACATTCTCAAACACGAGTCTTTGCGGCTGCTACATTGATTTCTGCCCATCAGCTCCTGCACTGGCACAGGGTGGCCAGAGTTCTGGTCCCAGAGCCGTCCTGGGGCTGCAGGAAGCTCACCTGACCTTTGTGGGTTTGGCTTTCCTATCGGAATGGGCAGGGTGGTTGGGGAGGTCCTGTAGGTACAGAAGGAGCCCCGAGGGGCCCAGAGGAGGAGGGTGACTCCCATGGACGGGGAGATGCTTGGGTGGCAGGGGAACGGCGTACCGTTGAGTGCTGGTGAGAGACGGTGAGGGCAGGAGAAGAGCAGCTGGAAGCCCGAGCAGCTGCCCAAAGTTGGGGTGCCGCTAGGGCAGAGGCCGGGGCCACCGTCCTGATTTGTGGCTGGCCCTACGGGGTTGCTCATGTTGTTGACTGCAAGTGCTTCGCACCGCATCCTCTAATTTGGTATCGATTCCTTTCAAAGAGCAAAACGTCAGGTGCTTCCCTATAGAGTTCTTGAAATTGAGTTTATTTCCGTCACTATGTTGCCTCCTTCCCTCCGCTGACCGCCCCTGACTTACGTCGTGTTATGTAAGCTCTGACTCGACGGAAGCCAGAAACCATAAAAAGCATCAATAGGGAAATATCATCAGAGTTCCAGAAGCTGTTCTGTCTTTTCCTGGCATCTTTTCTTACATTTCTAATATTAAAATATTCAAACCCTGAGGCTCTGGAACCACACATTTCAGC